CACCCCTCCTCACACACCCACTGGCTTCCTCAACATATGGGCCATTTGACATGCAGCACATTTGCGTGACTGAGGGGAGAGGCTCAGGAGCCTCCAGGCCAGACCAGGGGATGTACATTAACCACTGGGGCAGGAACCACAGCCATTTCCCTGGTGACTCCTTGATATTTGTTCCCACTTTTTCTGTTGGTGTGAAAAGTTATAGAATCATAGAAAGCCAATCCAGTACCCCAGAAAATTAAAATTTGTAAGACTCCCAATTCATCACAGGCCTAACTACAAAGGCAAAGCTGTAAAAGCTAGAAGAAACCTTTAAAATCATAAAACTAGAAGAAAATGCAGAAGAATATCTTTAGAGTCTTGATGAGGGAAAGTTTTATTAAACAAAATACGAAAAAGACACACGAGAAGAGAAAACTGATGTGAGTGACGTTGCTGAAGATTTCTGTTCGGTGACCAGCGACAAAGCCCAGATGAACGGATGGAGGAAAAAGTACCCATTCTCTATACCTGACAAATACCGGCTGTTCAGAAACTATAAAGAACTTTTGCAAATCAGGCAGAGAAAGAAGATAAATGCAGCAGAAAAGCAGAGGACGCGTACGAGCAGCCCGTCATAGAAGGAGAAGCTCAAAGGCTAATGAGCATATGAAGAGAGTCTCAACCTCACCAGCCATGAGAGCAGTATAGACTGAAATCCCAGAGAAATACAGATTCCCCACACCACTTGGCCAGGCTAGAATGCTGGGAAAAAAGCAATTGCTGAGGATGTGGGAGGACAAGGAGTTCGTGTGGACTAGTGCCGCCATTTGGAAAGCAGCCAGGCAGTGTTTCGTGAAATTCAGGAGGGAAACACCATATTACACATCTTTGAAAAAAAAAATATATATATATATATATATATACACATGTATATGTGTATATATCAAAAGAAACATGCACCTCTGTGCACAAGGGAGAGCGTCTGAGGATATTCATCATGGCACTGCTTCTGTTGGGTGGCCTAGGTGTCCTCACTAGAGGGATGGTCAATCTGAGCTGTTAACACCACCAGATTTCTTGCAGCAATCAGAAGCCAGAAACTCCATCTCCAGAGAGCCTACAATTACACCTCAAAAGCATACTGTTAAGTGCGAAAATGAGTAAAAGGAAAAGACTCATCGCAATGCCATTTTGATAATATTTGAAACACACAAAAGAACAAAGCACATTTTCTGTAAATATAAGTATGTATACATTATTTGATAACTAATGTATACATATTTAATAACATACATATACAATTATATATAAATTATACATATATAAATATATGATAAACACAATAGAAGATAAATACGATGGGAAACAGGTGACGCATACGAATGGGCCTGTCACAGAAGGAGACGCTCCAAAGCTAAAATACAGTGAAGAGATTCTCGACCTCACCAGCAGTAAGAGCAGTACAGATGAAAATCTCAGACAAATACAGATTCCTGACACCAGCTGGCCAGAACTGGAATGATATGGATGGACGATAGGTCCGCATGAATGTGGCAAAGTGCCGAAGGTGGGTGGGGTGAAGGGTTAGAGCTAAAGGGGAAAAAAGTAAAATCAAAGAAGGCAAAAGAAGGGCTTTCCACAGGTGTAAGTTCGCTTTGACTGTAGCAGTGCAGTCAATACTGTGCACCTGAGGTCCATTAGAAAAGAAGAAAAGGAAAGAAGTGCAGCCTGAAAAAGTCCATGCATTCTCACAGGCTCAGGTCAAAGCGCTGCTGATCCCCTCCGTCTCTCCTATGCTCATCTTCTGCTGCAGCTGATGATCCAGGAGATGTTAGAATTAAGAGCTTTGCTTGATTCTGGCCCATGGTGGGTGCCTCCCTACTCCACTGTGGCTGAGGTCAGGTAGTTGGTGTAGAGTCTTCTTACCCGCTAGATGACGGAATTCAGGCTTTGCCCCTCCGCCAGTCTCCATTCAAAAAGCAAAATCAGGATCTTGACATAAAACGATCATCTTGAAAGAAGCCAGTGGCCAATGTTCACTGCAGGGGTTCTGCTCCCTGAGGCATCTCCCAGGCAACTTCTGGAGACAGGACGAAGTCTGGGAAGGGCGTGTCTGTGCCTTCCACTCGGCACCAGATCAGTCACCAGGGTTGGCTGGCTGCTGCTCTGAGTGCAGGTCGTTTGACCATAATCATTTTGTTAAGAGCAGAGAGTAAGACAAAGTGACAAGGCCAGCCTTGTTGGTCAAGGTCCCCAGGGCTGTGCGCACTAGGGCCAGCTGCATCATTTGAAGCCCAGTGTGAAGTGCAAATTCAGGGATCCTTGCTCAAAATGCAGAAAATGAGTGCTGTTATAGATACTAAAATGTAAATTGTATGCTCTCTTCCTCTCTCTCTCTATTTCTCTCTATTTGCTGTGGTGTCTTTTGGCTATTTAATAGCCAATGAAGACATTAGAAGAAGCCAGGCGAGGTGGCACACACCTGTAATCCCAGCACTTTAGGAGGCCGCGGCAGGTGGATCACAAGGTCAGGAGATTGAGATCATCCTGACCAACATGGTGAAACCCGTCCCTACTGAAAAAAAAGTACAAAATTAGCTGGGTGTGGTGGCACGTGCCTGTAGTCCCAGCTACTCGGGAGGCTGAGGCAGGAGAATCACTTGAATCCAAGAGGCAGAGGTTGCAATGAGCCGAGATCGTGCCACTGCACTCCAGCCAGCCTGGCAACAAAGTCCATCTCAAAAAAAAATGGCCAGGCAGGCGCAGTGGTTCACCCCTGTAATCCCAGCACTTTGGGAGGCCAAGGTAGGTGGATCACGAGGTCAGGAGATTGAGATCATCCTGGCCAACATGGTGAAACCCTGTCTCTACTAAAATACAAAAAAATATATAGCCAGGTGTAATCACACATCTATTCAGGAGGCTGAGGCAGAGGAATTGCTTGAACCCAGGTGGCGGAGGTTGCAGTGAGCTGAGTTTGCACCATTGCACTCCAGCTTGGCAACAAAGAAAGACTTTGTCTCAAAATAAAAACAAAAAAAAATGGGAAGACATTAAAGTCTTCTTCTTGGGCATAGGGACATCTCCCTGTGGATACAGATCATCTCAGGATCCTGCAGACCCCATCCTGCTACTAGGAGGGGGCCCCCTTCTCCCAGCCATCACATTGACATACCATTCCTGAGCCGGGGCAAGGCAGGCACTCTCCCCTTCCCACACGACCAGCACTCCAGTTCATGGCGCCTCCCAAGGGAGACACCTCTGCGCCAAGACCAAGATCACCTCCTAGATAAGAGGTAAACCAGAAGCTCCCCCTTGCTGGGTCACCAGCAGCCACCATATTAAATTGGGGACAGACACTTCCATGTCCTGGGCCAAGGTGTATGGTGAATGTATGCTGGCCTTTCCTGTCGCCACACCTGCCTCAAGCCCCAACTGTGTGAAAGATGGCAGAGGTTGCTGGGAGAGAGGGGAAAAGAGAAGCCAAGTGGGACCCAGTGCCAGGGAACAGGGAAGCCAGCAGCAGAGGCGCCATCCCTGGGAGGCAGCAGCAGAAGGACCACGTGGGGCCAAGCAAGCCCCTGTGTGTGCTGCACAGTTCCATGAGCTTTCGTTCACAAAACACAGATCCCAAACTAAAATCATGATGACTTTCAGGCCTGCAGCCACACAGCATGACGCCCCCAACTGCTGCAGTAGCTCCATGCCCCAAAGGCTGACCCTGATGTTTACCATGACAGATTCGCTTTCTCCTCCAGGTAGGAGCTGTCAATCTCACCACAAGGCCCTGGGTGCCCGCCTCTCCTTCTATGTGCCAACTAATAAATATTTGGAACTTTTGCAAGCCAGTTGTTGTCCTATTGATTGCTCCAAATTGGCCATTTCTCCTTCCCTTCAAAGTGGTTCTCTTTCAAGGCCTTGTTCATCTACCTACAGGCATGGCTGGACCCTGGGGCAGATGAATGTGGCCGACCCTGAGAAAGGGAACGTTAGTCCAAAAGCAAGGCTGAGAGGGGCAAACAGAGCCCAACTCTCCAAGGTCACAGCCCCCACAGGAGTACCGCTGTCCCCAGGAGCCTCCCACATTGCAGTCAGCCTGGGCCTCTGGGAGAGGGAATGACCATCCCCCTGGTGCCATCTGGTTTGTCCTACGTGTCCCTCCTGGCTGTACACAGTCTGCTACCACCCTCTCTCCCTCCACCCTCCCTCTACCCTCTCTCCTGTAGTGCTCATTCCCACGCTGGGAGTTGACTTCCTTGTTGCCAGGGTCTCCACGGAGCTCTGTGGGGTCATGAGAGTGACCATTGCATAGAGTGGGAGGAGCGGGGAGAGGAGGCCGCCAAGCTCCATGGGGCTGGCCACTTAGCAACTAGGCCTTGGGCTCCATAAAATGGCTTGACAATAGGCAGACGGTTTCTTCCAGTTTAATTTCGTGAGCTAAGACCCTGGCTCAGATTTCCTTCTCAATTGCCCTCCCCAACTCACGTAGGAGACCAGTTGCTATTTGTTCTGTGAAACGACTCCCTGGGCAATGTTTGCAACGATGGGAACTGCCTCAAGGAATAATTGTGCAGATAACGTCACCCTCCTGACCAGGTCCGGGCTGGGAGTAAATGCCAGCTCCTGGGGGTGCTCAGGCAGGCTGTCTGTCTTCCCTGGGAAGCCCAGTGGAGCCTCTGGAAAAGGATTCCCACAGACAGCCCCCTGCCCAGTCCCTGAAGGAGCTGGCCTCACCCTTGGGCCTGGAGCTCAACGCAGGAATCAAAGACAGCCCTGCTATTCCTTTGAGAGGCAAAAAGAATCTTCTTGACTTAAGCTGTTTTGACTTTGCTGTTCTCTGGTTTCAGAGGCTGTGCAGGCCACATGTACCTGACTTGGGTTAGCAAGAGCAGCGGGCCCTCAGGTGAGGCCTCAGGTTTCCTGGTGTGGCCCCCTCCTCCTCACAGGCTGGCTGTGTCCTTTGACAAGACAGCAGGGGTTGTGGAAAGGGACAGGGAGCTTGTGTACCTTCCTTCCACCAGCCGGCTCCGGGCAGAGCCAGTGCCCCAGGCACCTTTCCAAGGCAACTGTGCAAACACATTCACTTCAGGTCAACCTTCTGTCTGCATGATGCAGCCTGTAAACGGGCTCTGCACCCTACAAGAGGCACGGGGATTTGCTGCTTGTTTTCGCTCATGTGTTGTGTAAGTTTTCGCTTAGTGAAGGGAGAACTTCCAGAGGCCGTCACGCTCGATCACGCATTTGCCAGCACTCATAAAACCGTAGCATTTTTGCTCAAACAATTTTTTTTTTAAGAACAGGGTCTCACTCTGTCATCCAGGCTGGAGTGCAGTGGCACGGTCATAGCACACTGCAACCTTGAACTCCTGGACCCAAGCAATCCTTCACAGCATCCCAAGGTGCTGGGATTACAAATGTGAGTCGCCACACCAGGCCCAAGCTATTCTTCTTTGCATAAATCCATAGGCAATCTTATTTTAAGGGGAGGGATTGTATCTTATTGACCATTGTATCTACAGTGCTTAGAATATGCTAGATGCTCAGCCAAGGTTTGTTATGAACTAAAATAATAATGCTATGCGGGAAAGAGGAAAAAAAGAGAAATATATAACGTTAATGTAAAAACTATTTTGAATCCAATTCTGCTGTGTGTCTTTAGCCAAATTGCTTAACCTTTCAGAGCTGCTAGCCTTTCATTGGTCAAGTTAACATGATCACATAAAATTCATAGTTTTGTGGTGAGAATGAAATGATAAGACTGTATTTCAAATGTCCGGCCAATCGTACGAGCTCATCGAGTATAATTTCCCGGCAGGCTCACAGCTATTATCGGAGTCTCTTAGGATCATTGTGCTAACCTTGTTGAGGGAAAGGAAGGCTGACTCACTCCTTTTCCATTCAGCAATGAAGATCAGTGAAGGCTCAGTGAAGCCAAAGATCACAGAGAAATGGTGGTGAGAGGATACTCCTCAACATTCATTGCATTCTAAGTGTCTATGCCTGGGTGGGATGTTCTGGAGAATACACAGGGAAAGTAACTCGTGAACCTGCTTTGGACTGACCCCATCTGTTGGTTTCTACTTTGCTGCACTAACGTCTTTGAGTCTCCATGACCCCACTCTGGACTCTGATCCTCACTCTGGATCTTGCTCCTGATCTCGGGAGTGGTAGAAAGAATCCAGCCCATGCATGTTTTCACTTGAATGGTCTTGAGTAAGTGACTGCGTCTCTTTGATCTGAGGCTCCTGACTGCAAGGAAAGGATAGTCGTAATAATTGCACCCAGGTCACCTCCAACACCATCTTGGAATCCCTCACTAAGTGCTCCACTGGTGTGGACATTACAGCGAAGGACACAGGATCTCCTGAGGATGAGGCATCCCCCCTCTAAGTGCTCCCCTCCTGGTCTCCAACCCAGCTCCGTTTCCTGTTCACGTCTTCAGCTCTGATGCATGCCCTCTGCTAGCAGAGCAGCACATTTCTCATTTGGCAGGTGCTGCTGTTCATGTCCTTTTCTCTGCCCAGGACTAGAACAATGTAATTGGAGTCACCAATGGCAGACACAGAAAGAAAACAGGATTGACAAGGTGGCACCGTGTGAGCTCATGAGAGCCAAACTGTGGCAAGGGGATTGCAGAAATCCAGATTCTCCACTCAGCCCTGCCCCAGCAAGAGGGCAAGCTCCAGTCAAGGGTGAAACAAGGAGACGCCCAAGTTCAGCCATGGGAAGATCGCACATCTGACATGAGCCAGGACAGCCCCTGTCTTGGGAAATACCATGGCTGCCGCCATCAGTTACAGACATTCGCAGGCCTCAGAGCAGGTGAGATTCACAGAATTCACATCCCAGCTCTGCCATCTACTGGTGTGTACTATGGGCCTCAGTTTCCACATCACGGAACTGGGATCCTAATTGCCTGATTCATAGAATCTCTATGAGAATTAAAAGAGAATATGTATTTCAAATGCTTAGCTTTGGACCTGACAAACATTGTAAACACTCAATAAATGGCAGCTGTTACTCTTACCCCAGCTGTGGCCAATGATATTAACATAAGAAATCTTAGTCACCTGTTCCCTGTGGCAGAGACTACTGGCTGTCCTTGTCAACAAATGTTCTCTCCTTCTTCCTAAGTGACAGAGTCCTAATTAGACTTGCTTGACAAGGTGTCCAGCTGAAAGATTATCTCCAAAGTTCTCTTGTTGTTAGTTGTGGCCAATTTCTATTTAATAGACATAAATAGAAAGAGTAGAGCATCTGGGAGAAGAGGGTACCTTTGTTCTTGCCACCCCTCCTGCTGCCCAGGGCACCCTGCTGATGGCCAGAGCTGTGGTGACTTCCCTGGAAGATAGAAAGGAGGGGCGCATGCTCTGAACGGAAGAGGAGTCTGGGGGCTGGTGGACTTCCTGGAACCATGATTGCTCTGCACTTCTGGCCACAATAATTGCTTTTTAACATGACGGAGAAAGAAGTCTTCTTTAAACTCATCTGAGCTTTTCTGTCGTGTCAAGCCCAAATGCAATCCTAACTGATACGATAACTGATATTTAGCAGGGAGTGGAGGGCCCAGGAAAGAATACTGTGATGCTGATGGGGAACATGGATGGTAACGGCTAAAAGCAAGACTTGCCTCCTTGTGGTAGGGCTGACCCCGTGGAAGACACCCATGTTTCGTGTTTTTACATCATCACACGTCCAGTTTGCAGATAGTGGCACGTGGTAACACCTTCTCTGTATGTGATCAGGGGCCTTCCCTGATGTGGTCCTGGGTCTTTCCGCGCTGACGGCCTCACTCGCCTGGCTGCTTGGTTCTGCACTGGGATTTTCAGCTCAAGTAATTGCATACTTCTTGCTTAAGATGTTCATCTCCAAATTTGGATTTCCTTGGAAAAGTAAAGTCGTTGTGGGGGATCCAGCCTGGGATCCCGACTTTTACAACTGTGTTTCTAGTGAAAAACTGTGTTTTGAGCTACAAAATACCTAAAAATCACATTGTAGAACTGGATATGTGTGCTCACAAAGGCTAAAGTAATCCACATATTGCTCTGTGCTAACCTTGGCCCTCTCTCTAGATAACGGGGCTGTGTACACAAAAACTGTGTCTGCCAGAGGTTCTTGAAGACACACAGCCTCCTCGGGATGTTCTCCGAATCCACAGTGTCTGAAGGTGAGATTTTATTCCAGTCTTTCTCTCTCATACCCTCTGAAAGCCATACTAGGGGAGTGGGATGAGGATTTATTCCCTGGGACAGTGGGAATTGGTGTTATTCTGGGACAGCTTCAACTAAGAAATCATATATTGCAATCGGTTTCCCAATTTTTCTTTCTTAGGATGTGTGAAACCAGCCTGAAGACAGTTCTTGTAAAAATGTCCTTGAAACCATGAAATCGGCACAGGACCGATCAGAACTAAGATAGGAAAAGCCACTCAAAGAACTCGAAAGGATGCCAGGCCAGAGAGGATGGTCTATAAGTTACTAGTCACATCAACCCACGTAAGTAAGGACTATATCCCTCAGAAATGGGTGGAATAGGAATCATGAAAGTTGGAGGAAGGCGAGACAGAGTCAAACACAGGCAGTGCTCATCAGGAAGGGCTCTGCATGGTGACAGTGCGTCGGATCCTGTCAAGTATATCCTTATTTTGAAGGTGAGACTTCCTGAGATTTCGGTGACTGGTGCTAAACTCTGAGCGCCAAGAAAGCAGGAACAATGTATCTAACTTATTCACAGGGCCTGCTGCACGGCAGGCATTTGACGAGTGTTTGTGGAATGAACTCATTTACTCTTTTAACATTCAAACCTTTCAGATGTGCATATAAATACATAAATTATATATTGTATGAGTCCCTTTTGTCTTTTTGTTCTGTATTTTTGATGCTTTGACATCTGCGGTTCTTGATGACCCTGGAGGGTTAGTCAATTTCTGGGGATAGATAACAGCTCACCCATGAGCATGCCTTTCAAATACCGACCAACCCATCTGGAGCCCACACTCCCAACCACCCCATCTGTGGGGCTCTCACACCCTGGGCCACTATTCCCTCCCCTAATCATCCCAGGGCCAGGTACCAGACAACCAGGGACAGCCCCTGCGCACCAGAGTCCTGAAATGATTTAAACTAGCCCATCCTAAGCCTGTTTACTTTGTCTTACCTTCTTCCCCTGGAAATGACAATAAAGGCCCTGCTCACCCTTCCTCCTTCCTCCTCTGCTTTCAGACAGAGTCTGGGGTTTCCCGAATGCTGTGCCACGCCTCCTGTTTCTAAGGACCTGTGAGTGTGAACTTCTTCCTTCACGACAGTCATTTCCATTTCTGTGTGTCTCACCATCCCTAAGTGAAACAAATCCCAGGTTCCCTTAAAACATAACTCTGTTCTCTAGCTCTATTCCCACCAAATGATGTTTCCATATTTAGCTCCCCATATAGCTTGCCCACAGGGAGGGAAAGTGTTAGTTAGGCCGATGTGAACATCTGGTCCACCTGACAGTTAAATTTCTCATTCTAAAAAAAAAAAAAACACCATTTTATTTTCTAGTGAGTTTCACTAGGGCGAGTCAACGTCTCCAATCCAAAGGGCTCCTGGTCCCTGAAGCAGCAAGATGGGTGCCAGAGTTCAGACGGTGGTCAACTGGTCCATTCACCAGCCCAATACCACCTTGAGGGGACTAGTCAGCATGCCCACCTGCCTGCCCCTGTCCTCTCTGCCTGGATGTGACCTTTCCTCTACACCAGGGTTTGGAACCAAGTGATGCAGAGAAGCCGGTTCCTGCTGACTCCTCTGTGTGTCCAGAGCTGCGTGTGCCTGAGATACAGGCAGATGTCCAGGCACCCGGGGAGAAGACAGCCTGGGAACCAGACTCTCGCACCTGGAAGCTGCTCCTGCTGACATTTCCAAACGACAGTCTGTCTAGCAGGAAAAGCCTCAGACATGCAGATGTCCCCAGAACGGTCACTCTTTCCAGAGAAGAGCAATGAAAAGACTTAGAAATACAGAGCCGGAACGGAAGCTGACCACTGTGCTCCACTGGCCCCTGCATCATGGAAGGTCCTTTGTCTTCCAGCAACGGCGTCAAGGGCAACCTTGGGCCAGAGGCAACATGTGCTCTCCCCAGGTGACTGGAAAGCTCCTCCCCCAGGCTGTGCAGCACGGACACACACACTGGAGCTTCAGAACAGAAGCTACTTTGTCTGTGCGATGAGTCAATGCTGTCGTCACTGGGGCACTGCAATGGAGACACTGGGTAAAGTCATGGAGCGTTGAAGGACAGGGTGTCACCCTGCAGAAAGTCTGGAGGGGGAAGACACCACAGCCCACCTCCTGTCCTCCTGCCCTGGCCTCCACCTGCAGTCACACTTCTGCTCCTATGTCCGTTCTTACTAGTAGGTGGCCTTGGGAGCCCCCTTCCGAGTTCCACCATCCCTGTGAAGCTGGTTTATGGCCCCCCATGCCCCGTGGTTCCAGGTTCATTTGCAGCAGCCTCAGTGCACACAAATAAAGGTGTGCGGCCATTTGGGGAAGCTGCTCGTCCCATAGTGAGGCTGGTCAGAGCTTGGATAAAGACGAGTCAAAGGTTTCTGTAGGCCAGGGACCTTCAGACCAAATCAATTAAAAGGGGTAAATGGGGGTGGGAGGAGTGGGGGCCTGAGAGTTTGACAGCTCATCTGCATCTTGGCACTCAGTCAAGACTAGCATCACAAAGGAAAAATAGATGCTCAAGTCAAGCCCAAGCATCTGAGAATCACCTGCATCCAAATCCCCTTCAGTCACTGTGAATGCAAACTCCCCAGCGCACCCCAGGTGGCTGACTCCGAGTGTCCTGGGGTAATGAAAAGGTGGGAATCAGCATGTTGGACCAACTCCAGGGCGTTCTAAGACCCTCAAAATCGGCTGCTGAAAAGAGAGAAGCTCTTTTATGGGCTTTGATGAAGTGAGAGGAGGTGCTGAGGAGTACACGGTGAGTGATCTAGAATTGAGAAGGCTTGAACTCCCGCCTGCCTCTGTCCTGCACTGTTTTTGTCCTTTCTGTTCGGCCTCCAAGGGCTTTGGGCTAAGCCAACAGGCACATGCTCTGAGGACCGGCCCTCACCCTGGGCTTCTGCTCTACTGCAGCTCTGAGCAGATGGTTTCTCATCAACCGTTTCTGAAGGTGTCACTCTTTATCGTCAGAGCAATGCTTGTATGCATCATGATTCCTAGACTGGGCCCTAATTATAAGTGTGTCCTGCTGAAACGATCACACAACGACCACATACTCCCTCGGGAGGCTCTAGAGCCCGCCGTCAGCTTGCTCATGTGGACAGATGAAAACAGGTAAAGAGATGAGCAGGGAGGAAAGGATAATCAAATTGTCGTGTCAGGGTGAAAAATGACGGCTGAGTTGTGACACTGTCTCCATTTCAATAAACACCGAAGATAAACATATTTACGCAAGATGCTTTGTTCACAAAACAATCGTTTGCGTTTCGATGATCACATTTGCCCGGTTACAAAAGAGCAAAGAAACTAGACTCACTATGAAAGTCTTGAGAGAAGACAGCTCGCTCCTGAGCAATTAGATAATGGCCGCCCTGAGGATTCCAGTTAGAACAACAGTTATGTATCGCATAGCGTTGCGGTCAGTGACACACCACATAAACAATGACGATTCTATAGCACCGTAATACGGTATTTTTACTGTACCTTACCAACGTTTAGATGCACAAATACCTACCATTGTGTTACAACTGGCTACAGTATTTAGTACAGTCACATGCTGCAAAGGTGTGTAGCCTCGGAGCGATAGGCTGGGCCTTAGAGCCTAGGTGAACTGCAGGCTATACCATGTAGGCGTGTACAAGAACACTATGATGCTCACACGGTGACAAAATCACCTAATACACATCTCTCAGAATATATTCCTGTCATCAGGTGAGGCGTAACTGTGCTCCAGACGTTGGCCTTCAGCATTTTCCCCCTGTGGAGTCCTGATGTCTCCATTTGGATGTCTCTGAGTAGCTTACGTACTGGATCTCACACTGGATTCACTACTCTTCTCCAGTATCAGGGCTCTCCATCTCAATAAATACGTCTCACGAAGAATCACTTCTCACAGTCCCTTCCATGTAATCATGGAGTCCTCTAATTCTGCCTGAAATATGCTTAAAATGTGTCAGTTTCTTTCTAAATCTGCTGCCCAACTTCCCCACTCTAATCCAAATTGCCACCGTCTGTCTTTCGGAGTTTGACAGGACTTTCTACCTGGTTTCGTCCCATTCGCTCTTCCTTTCCTTTGACCTACTCTTTATAGAGCAGACAGAGTAACTGATTTTTTTTTTTAAGACAGGAGCTCACTCTCTTGCCCAGGCTGGAGTGAAGTGGCACTATCTTAGCTGCCTGCAACCTCCGCCTCCCAGATTCAAGTGATTCTCTTGCCTCAGCCTCCCTGAGTAGGTGGGATTACAGGCATGGACCACCATACCCGGCTAATTATTTTTTTGTGTATCGTTTGGTAGAGGCGGGGGTTCTCCATGTTGCCCAGGCTGGTCTTGAACTCTTAGGCTCAAGTGATCCTTCCGCCTTGGCCACCCAAAGTGCTGGAATTACAGGTGTGAGCCACCGCACCCAGCACAGTAATCTTTTAATAAAAACATGATCATGTCACTGGCCTGCTTTAAAATTTTAAATGTCTTTTCTTTGTTCTTCGGGTCGTGTTCTGAGGCTGTGATTGCATCAGAGCCTCCTCGCCCTCTGCAATCCCCGCCACTCACTAAACCTCCAGCCAGGCTGACATCCTCTTTGTTACTCAGCCGGGTCGGACGTCCTCCTGCATCCTGGACTTGCAGATGCTCCTTGTCCTGGGGATGTCACCTCACTGCCCACTTGGACTGATCCCTCGTGCTCCTGTCCTCCAGCTGCCGTGTCACTTCCTAAGAAGCGGCATTCCTCCTCACCCCGGCCAGCCTGGTCTCCTACAATCACACAGCTCCCTGTATTTTCTCTACAGCACTTTCATCACAGTGAGAATCACATGTGTGACTATTTTTATAAGATCCCATTAAGCCACAAGGGCCCTGAGGACATAGACAGCGTGCCTCTTGGTCACACTGAAGGCCCAGTGTTGAGTGTAGTACTTATTATATTATAAACATGAAACAAATCCTTATTGAATAAATGAATGTGCAAGTTAAGGAACTGCAATTCAACAATGAAATCAGCAGTCAACCCAGTGACTCACAGAGTAAGAATGCAGAGTGGAAGACCTCTCTAGACAGAAGCAGCATTTCCCTTTGCTGATTTCACACTATCTGTGGAAATAGAGTTTTCAGAAATATGCCCCCTGCAGAGTCCTCCCAGAGTTGACGGCTGTGTCTCCTAGGATGAAAGGCTGGTGAACAAGGAGGGGCAGGGTTCAGAACCAGCACCAGGAAGAACCATCACCTGCTTAGAGTAGTCCAGCACTGGGATTCACCGTAGCAGGGAGCCTTGTCTCTGGAACGCTGAAACAGAGGCTGAATAACAGGTGCGACTCTTGTGGAGGAGGCCACATTGCTCCACTGCCCTTCCCACTCTTGTGATGCTGCCCCTCTGTGCAATCCAGCCCTTTTGGAATGCTGGTCATTTCTCCCACTGTCATCTCCTTCCCCTGGAATCTGCTCAGCCGCCTGCAGTTCTTGCTGCTGTCTTCTGGTTTTCTTGCTGTTAAGATGAGGTGCGACCATCAGAACTAGGAAACCAACTCCTAGGCTGGTCTGAGACCACTGGACATGAGTCTTTCTAGTTTAGAATTTGGATATTGGAAGATGAGGCTGTCAGATAAGGGTGCCTATTTGAAGTCAAG